CCAGACCCAGCGAACTCAGACAGGTTCAAGTCAGCAAAGCCCAGCTGCATACAAGATCAATCAGTTGTGTTTAGCAATCAGTTTAAATTGTTAGGTACATGTATACATAGATTTTACATGTAGAAAATGTATTCAATAGCAAGAGTGTGGTTTTCTCTACTAAAGTGCTCATAAATATCAGGCTACAACTACCAGTTTATTAGTATCTCCTATGAGATTGCGGTGTTATAAAACATAAAGTAATCTACACATGAAGACATCCATCCTAGTTCCAGTTAAAGGAAATACACTCCAGGTGCTGTGAGTAAGGAACTTCTGTACTTGAGAAATCAGATTCTTTAAATCATCATTTGTTACTGGTTAATATGGCATAGGTTTTATTTGACAGATTTTTTTAATCAGTAACCAAAGTCAGGAACTAGAGATCAAAATATTCTTCCTGAGTGGACTGGCCCCACCAAAAGGTCCTCTAAGGGCACCCGAAGGCTGATAAGATTGTTCTAATGCTCTTGCACTTAAGCTGCTATGTTTGTAACAAAAATTAGTCTACAGACCTTAGTAAGGAAGCATTACCTTTGCAAAACTTTTTCCACCTTTCAATTCCTAAAATGACAAACACACAAAAATGAGTGAGGCTACATTGACTTGTTTCATTGCTCACACACTATTTTCAGTGAAACATTTGTGACCATTGTTTGCACAAAGCACTTGAGAACTGTGACATGGTTACAAATTAACAGCGCCTCTGATCTTATGTACATAAATGTTTTCTGGGAACACTCAAATCTCTGTTAACCTTCTGGACTCTGCTATGGAAAACAGCAACTATACATTTTTGTAGTGACAACAAAACAAAGTTTTAAGGTACCTTGCGCACTGACACCCGGCACACACAAGGGTCTAGAATACCTGTCCCAGCGCTGGCACTCATCTTACACAAGAAAGAGAATCTTTTTTTCCAGCGAACACAGTTGGCTTGGACCGGCTCCCTGTGAGAGAAGGACATTTAGAAACACTACTTCATATAAAACACACAGACATTCAGACTACTGAAGGACCAGATAATATTCACAAATCTACCAGATGTATGCACAGAAAGGATGTCATGCAACCTGGAATTTAACCACTTTAAACAAGAAATGTTTTTGTGGTAAATTTGTGATTCTGGCCTAAACACTAAAACTGACTTGAGAGGATGCACAATGTTGATCACTGTTAACAGCATGAGGAAGGAAACAATTTTAGTTATTAATTAACACTAAGTGTTTATATACACGATGCCATGCCTACAGGCCTATTAAACAAAGCAGTTGCGGCTGAAGCATGGTGTGTGTAGGTTACTTCAGTTTTCAATAACAGACAGTTTCCATGGCGAAGTGATGAGGACTAGCGGTTGACATATGCTACGCCTGTGTCCTTTTTTCCAGAGTGACTCATTTAAATGCTACAAGCATACTGGGAATTAACCTTGCAGCTCTTTGGTCGTCACAGTTATAACAAAACAATAACAATAAATATATAATAAACATACAAGAGGGGAAAAACGTAATTAACTCGAGCTACAACGACCTGTTCCAGTAAACAAACTCCAATATTTTATTGTTATTGTTACCTAACCGCTGACTGAAATGCCTAGCTAGTCACTTCAACCAGTCTAATGTTAATCTAACGCTTGTAAAGCTAGAAATAAATGTAGTTAGGTTAGCTTATACTGCAACAGCTTCCAAGTTGCTCTGTAACTGAACAGTGAATGTTACTGTAGAAAATGTTATATAAAAAAAAGAACCAACACCGAGACAAGAAATGTTAAACAGGTCCAAAGTAAACAGGATAAACACGCTTAAATTTAACTTTTGCTTGCACGAACAAGTGAACTGCTGCTATAAATAGTAAAAACAAATAATTACCGAGAAGACTCTTCGGCGAAGCCTCCATTTAAGAGCCTAACCTTGCAGAATAAAACTCCGTTTACAAAGGGAATCGATGATAATTCCTCCAAGTCGAAGTCAACTTTAAATTTAAACCTCTTTTTCTTCATTAGAATGAACGACATGGTGTTTCCTGGCGGAGCGCTCCGCTAACACGGTATCTCAACCTGGCTGGGTTGTGCACACCGTCCACAGTTCAAATGTCCTCCTTCCCACCCACTGAAAAATGGAATTATGACGTGTGGGAAATTCCGGGCTGTGATTGGACGATGCTGCATAAAAATAGAGAGAGCGAACGTGCTCACGGCTGCGCGTGACAGTTTCACTTTTCCAGTCAAAACGCTCACTCACAGCAAAAACAATATCCTCTGCATCACCAACCAACCTTGCATTAAAGTACGGAGCCGTAGAGGTAGTGGGTCTGCATTATCTTACCACATGACACCTCGTGGCTCCGTACTAACGTGACCTTACCCTGTAACCACAGAATGAGGAGAGAGTCTAAATAACTGTAAAGATCCAGGACAACTTACGGTATTAAACAGGTTTTAGCTACTGAAAGTGGTTTTGATTCTTGATTGATTTTCTCTTGGTCTCACTTTCACCTGCTCTCCAGTGACTGTAAATATAATCATCAATCTGAAAGCTCTTCTGCCACAATCTGTATATATACACTATGTATTTATTTCTAAATAGATTGTGTCTCTTTTCCTCTAGTCTCCTATTGAATTTCACATATTTCCTATTTAAATAAACACATTTTTATTTTATTTACAGTACTGTTGCCTTACAAAGCACATTGTAAGAGGAGACAAATTCCTTGTGTGTCTAATCATAAAGCACACTCTTATTCTGATCGTGGGTGATTAAGCGTATAGGTAGAAATGTCAACTCAAAATTGAATCCACAACACATTAAAATATGCAAAAAGTAAAGGAGACTGACTTTCTGAATCCACTGTACATAAATCTAAGCAGCTGTTTTATTCATAACTGAGTACAACCCTCCAAGAGAAGCATCTGTCACAGGTTGTGCCATAATAAAATCTAATTTCAGACAGGGGATGAAAAGCCTTTAATAATTATGTGCTAGTAAAAATACACAAAGTGCCTCAAAACGGTACTTACGCAATGATTCACATCCACTGCTTCCAAGGCCCCAAAACATTTGCTCAACAACAGCAGGGTTTCTAAAATGGCTCCTGGGTTGACTAAACACCTCTGTAATAGCCTACCAGTTTAACAATTAATTATAACATTCTATATTTTGGTTGAGGGGCTCTGAGATCCCACTCATAGGGGCCCCTGGTTTGTTTTCCAGTGTGCACCACATTGTGTGCGATGAACCACCGCCCTCTAGCGGCAGTCCGCGTTATTCATTTGTAGGAAATACGATACTGTGTTTCAAACGACACATGCCTCCAGAAGAAAATATCACATTTTACTCGTTAATGCGCAGTGCTGTGTTACACAGAGCAAGGGTAACATAACAAATGATAAAGTCCATCATGTTTTGCATAAGATGGACTAAATTTGGTTAATCCAGGCGGTGTAAATTTCACTTTCTATTTGACTACCGTATCTGTTCTGCTTCAACGTTTTACATCCAGCAGCCTCAGCTTGCTCCGCCCCCGGTTACTGCAGCTCCGATTACGAAATAACTTACACCTTCGCGTGGGACCATCTGCAAAATAAAGTAACTGGAAACCCGTTTTACATCACCAACAGCGAGCTTATATCTGGATTCAGCAAGATTTATGAATGATGTCCAATATGGATTAATAAGCAGATGCTGACGGCTGTTCTGATAGGCACTCCTACATTAGCCCCACCATGTATCAGACGTTACGGATGCTTTTACTATCAAATGCTCGGTGCTGGGATGCCGGCAGTCAGAAGTCATATCAGGACCTGTTTGAGAGTCTCGACACCAATAAAGATGGGAAGGTGGATGTCGCTGAGTTGCGAGCGGGCCTCAAGGCAATGGGCAAATTCTGCCAGGGTGCTGCACAGGTAAAAGCTCAGGGGCCACGGCATCGTGTAAAGACAAGAGTCTCACGTCCTGCACGTTATGCATGAAATTCGAGTAGTTTGACCTGTCTGGCTGGCTGTGTATGTGAACCGCCCTGATATTACTGAAGGAGGCAGATGAAGCATTAGATCTGTTCTCCTCTCTGCAGAAAATTTTGTCGTCTGGCGACCAAGACAAGGATGGGAGTCTGGACTTCAACGAATTCACCAAATACCTGAAAGAGCATGAGAAGAAGCTGTGGCTGACATTTAAGAGTCTGGACAGAAACGACGATGGTAGGAGATGAGTGAAGCCTTCTGCAGGAGCCTCGTTGTAAAAATACTTGGCACCAAGTCACATATCCACTGTTTATACTGCAGCATATTTCAGTAGAGTTTTTTATGTTGTGTCAGGACACATTGATGCCTCAGAGATCCAACAGTCCCTTACAGAGCTGGGCATGGATGTCTGCAGAGAGGATGCCCAGAGAATCTTACAAAGGTTTGTACTGCAACAGGACCAAAAATATTGCTGTTGTAATTTGAAGGCTTTTATATGGGTCACAAGTATGCTTAAAGCAGTGTAATAAACCATCACTTCAAAGGTAAAAATGTCTGTGTTTCTTTAGCATGGACATTGATGGCACCATGATGGTGGACTGGAACGAGTGGAGAGAACACTTCCTGTTATACCCTGCCCATGACCTGGAAGAGATCATACGCTACTGGAAACACTCCTCAGTATGGACCATTAGAAACATACCGTCACATACACTACATTCTGTAGATATGGATACAGCTGGAGTGGAATGAATCACGTTGCCCAGCTCACATGTGGATTATTATGGATTTTCTCTGTAGTCAATAGCAGCTTTGGTCTAGATAATTAGGTCACAGCACCACACTCTGTCTCCCTCCTCTTGCAGCTCCATCTCAATGCTCCATCTTAATAAGCCATGTATCTGAAAGTTTACAGATCTTTCTACACTAGATTCATAGTCTTAGGTACACAAGAAAAGACAAAGCTGCATTCTCATGCCATAAATTTGCCATAGTCATGACTCCCAGACACATGACTAACTGCATTTTCCTATTAGTGTAGTTGTTTTCCCCAAAGGCTTTAGCATATTTACACGGATAAGAAGCACATTATTCTCCGTCTTCAATTTTAGCAGTGTCCATAAATTAAAAAAAGTATTTGAGTGAATGTGTTTATGTGATCACCAGGTGCTAGATATAGGTGACAGTCTTGCCATCCCTGATGAATTCACAGAAGAGGAGAAGAGTTCAGGTCGCTGGTGGAAGCAGCTTGTCGCAGGTGCAGTGGCGGGGGCCGTCTCTCGCACTGGTACTGCCCCTCTGGACAGGATGAAGGTCTTTATGCAGGTGAAATATATGAAAGAAAATGTTATGGAATAAATATATTATTTACTTTAATAGATGCATGTGCAAATGTAAAACATACTTTTTTTTTTTTTACTGCAGGTTCACTCCTCTAAGTCCAACAGGATAGGCCTGGTAGGGGGCTTCAAGCAGATGATCATAGAAGGAGGGCTAACTTCACTGTGGAGGGGAAATGGAATCAATGTTTTAAAGATTGCACCTGAGACAGCAATCAAATTTATGTCATATGAACAAGTGAGAGACTGCCTCTGTTAAACAAAACTTTAAAAAAATTGTTATTGTTATTACATTTATATATGTTTATTACATGTTTATAACATATATAGGAGCAGATGATTTCTTTTCTCTCCATTTGTGTGTGTATTTTTTTTTTATGCAGTTTAAGAAGTTGTTATCATCAGAGGGCAAAAAGACTGAGACACACCAGAGATTTATGGCTGGCTCTCTGGCTGGGGCCACAGCCCAGACAGCCATCTACCCAATGGAGGTAAGATAACTATGTTTGATCATATTGGTTCATTTATGGGATCTATTAAGATAAAATCAGTCTATATGTACCTTTTCCAAAGCATCAGAAGTACCACACAATCCAAAAGAATCTGTTTGGGTATAGTCCTGAGCACCTTGTTTTTCTTCATATGTACTCTTTCTTTTTAAGGTATTAAAAACTCGGCTGGCTCTGAGAAACACTGGCCAGTATTCAGGTATGTTTCACTGTGCCAAGATGATCCTGAAGAAGGAGGGTGTGAAAGCGTTCTACAAGGGCTACATTCCAAACTTGCTGGGCATCATTCCCTATGCTGGGATAGACCTGGCTGTGTATGAGGTTTGCAGGCTTTGTGGTGTATTCTGAGTGCACTTTGTAAATTAAATTATGTATATGTTCAGTAAACCAATTCATCTTTGATTGCAGGGCTTTATTGAATTAATCAGAGAAATATATTTTTGCATTATGCTGATGCACGCTCTCCCACTTGTGTCTCAGAGTCTCAAGAACACCTGGTTGTTGTATTACGCCAAGGACTCCGCTAACCCTGGAGTTCTAGTGTTGCTGTGCTGCGGGACAATCTCTAGTACCTGTGGCCAGCTGGCCAGCTATCCACTCGCACTGGTACGCACACGGATGCAGGCGCAAGGTAAACTCAGTCGCACATTTGAAAACAGTGATGACAAACAATTACATTACACAGTGTACGGTTGTGTTTTACATCAGGCAAAATGCTCGTGGTGACAAGAACCTGGTGTTTTATGGAAACATACACTTGAATTAGAGTTCACATAATGTTAAGTGGGCTGCAACATAGAAAGACATCCTGCTCTCATTTACCTTGACTTGAGTTAATGGTTTAGGCTACTTGCTGATGTAATTTATGGAAAGCAAACTGAAAAATCAAAATTAAATAAATATTGTCTCTCCAACAAGTGAACTCTGTCCAGTTAAATCCAGATAAAACCAGTGTTTGACATTTGAAATAAATCTTGACTGTGTAAAGGTAACAATTTACTGACATCAATATATATGAATTCTAGGTATTGGACTTTTATGTGTGTATGCAGAGTTGCCCAGTCTACAGTAGCTGTCTCTTACAGAGAGCAAGGGAATAAAAAGTGACTGTTTAGATAAAGCACTGCCTCCCTAACTTAATATTTCTTTGCAGCGTCTCTGCAGTCATCAGACCAGCCCTCCATGAGTTCTCTGATGAAGAAGATTGTCTGTCAGCATTAGCTATGTGGTTTATGAGTATATGAAGACTGGCTTGGGAATTTCTAAATGATTTTGCAAGCAAATAAAAAAGAACATTTCTTGTATTTGTCAGACTTGAAAATGCCCAAAATAACTCTAAGAGGACTGATGGACATCAAACATACGGAGCATGACTTCCACCAGCTGTCACAAGAGTTCAGTGGATGGAAATCTGTATGTATACCAGTAAGGATGGTCTGTCAGTAGCTAAAGCATTAAGTCATTTGTGGTGAGCATGCTTGAATTCTTATCCTGCTGTTACACATAATTTACACACTGTCCAAAACAGTACTTGACACAAAGCTAGTACTGAACATAAATACACATCGGGTTTCCTAATTTATGCTACTGTTACTCTTTTAAAGCTGTGATCAAACCACAATGACAGTTCCGCTCACGCTGGAGTGCAGTTGTGCTTTTTGTTAAGAGTTAATGTCTTATTTTAAGTCAGAGTGAGAAAAAAATGACACTATGCCACTTTAAATTACCCTCAGAGGAAGTTTAACACACAGCGACGTCAGCGCCAGACAAACAGTGCTCCAGTCAGCAGCTGTCAACTAGTAATAACTGTCCCTGAAAAATCGGTATCTGTTAAGACTGGAATACTATGTACATGAAGAAACACGCATGCTGTGCAATGTGAAATTCCACATTCTCTATTTAATATTTACTTAAATGTGCCTTACAGCCTCTTGTTGTAAACCTATTGCTGTACTGTATATCTGTTCTCAGTTATGGTTATTTATGGTTTGGTATGGTTACTACAAGATAACATTGCAACACTTTTAAGATAATGGTGATAATTGGTCATTGGACTGAAATGCTTGCAAAGAGTGTGTTCTTGTCTTTTGTCACCTCTCACATCAACACATCAATGCTCCTGTTACATTGGACATTTGGTTAGCGTTCCTTTGACACAACTCAGTGGTAGAAATGTTTTAATATTATCTGCCATATATCATGCCATAGCAATCAATTTTTCAGTATTATAAATTCCATTAATAGGGATTCAATTACATGATCATTATATTATCAAACTGAAGAACGTTAAAGTTGCTGAAATAAGACCAGTCTAAGATGATAATTAATTATAAGAGTAAAGACTGTAATCCCACTATATCAGCGCTGCTTTGTGTGAGAAAACGACCTCCAGTTTTCTAGTCGAAGTGTTTATATTCACGCATGCGACCTAGTGGTCCTTGCTCAAATTAATTTTGTCCTAGCCGCACACCGTAGTTTGGGCACCAGACGCTACAACTGTCGTGAAGAAGTGGCCCCCCTCTGCTAAAAACAAACTGAAAAAAAAGTAATAATAATAATAACGCGAGCTGATTACGGTGAGTTTGTTCGTCTTTAAATTGATACACGAAAAATAATTACAGTTTTCGCTGCGTTATCTCGGTTGACTCAAAATTAAACGCACAGTCAAGATAGCTAGCGAACTCTGGGCAGCAGCCATAAATGTTCTCCTGCCGAAATGGGCTCAGCCAGTGGGGGACACTGATAACTTAGGTCACAGCTAGCTGGCTATAATGATAACGATATACACATACCTACGTTTAATGTGATCTTATTTTGGGAAGTTTAAACTTGTTACTTGTTAGGTCGATAATGTGAGTGAATGGGCGGGGCTGACGAGATGATTGCGTTAGCTTGACGTGGTTGTTGTAGTCTGATCTGTTCTGGCAGGTCCAGGTTCACTGTTTCTGAGGCTGTCCAGCCTACAGATAAGCCTTTTTGGGCTAAATGGAGTGCCGTACGGCCTTCTGGATAACTGCCGCTCTTCATGTGTCCATCTGTCTTGTATAATATTAACGCCACCAATAGTGATTGCTATTTTAAATTGGCCATAGTTTGTACCTATCATGCTTTGACGTTACATTGCTATAACAATAATATATGAGGAACACATGCTGGGGCATGACTATGGCTGTTATTGATGCCATTGCTTTTGAGGTGAAAGCAAGCAAATACTTTACTACAAATACATTTTGGGACGGCTGTGGATCAGTGGGTAGAGCGGTCCTCTCCCAACCGGAGGGTTGGAGGTTCGAATCACAGTGCCTGCATGTCAAAGTGTCCTTGGGCAAGACACTGAACCCCCAAGGTGTCCCCGATGGTTAGAGCCATCAGTGTGAGTTGGCTGCCTCGGGTTCTGTACTGGAAACAAATTCCTTGTGTGAGTAACATACTTGGCCAAATAAAGGTGATTATTATTATTAAACATTATATGGGTTTTTTTCAGGATACTGCCATATTAGGGTTAATTAATGACCTTGTTTACATTGAGGTTGTTTCTATCACCTTTACAGGCTTATAAAGGGTTTTAATTCCAAGTTAATTATGACTCACAGTTTGTGTTGCAATTTAAATCTTCCTTCCTGTTGTCTGAATTGCACAACTTAAATACAGTAGAATTAAGTTTGTTCAGCGTATGGTTTGTTTCCAGGAACATCAGGATTTCTCTTTTCTTTCCAGTAGCAGGATAAATAGTGAAGCATTATGGGCAACACAAGTGACAGGGTGTCTGGAGATCGCCATGGAGCCAAGGCGCACCGCTCAGACAGCAGCGGCAGTCACAAAGACCAAGAACACAGCAGCAAAATGGTGGACAGCACAGATGACCCCAACATCTTCAACACCCACGGGCCTGAGTCTAAGGTACGGCTGGAAAAATACAGAAAGATTAATGTACAGAACCCTGTTTATTCTGTGAGGATGCCTTTTGGATTTCACTGTAGTATGTTGGGTGTGATTTTTGTGAAAACAGCTTACAATTGAAATTTAAATCAATTGCTTTTAGGCGTTAGGAGAAAAGGAATTCTCCCCAGATCTGGATGACCTGGTGAAGACTGGTCCTCAGGCTCGACCCACTGTGATCCGCTGGGCTGGTGGAGGGAAGGAGGTCTACATAGCTGGTTCCTTTAATAACTGGAGCACAAAGATACCGCTAAATAAGAGGTAAAGAGGATTGTCTTTGCTGTAGATGTCAGTACATTCTCACTTTCATTGCCTTGAATAGGTAAATACATAGTTGCAACCACAAGTGCCAGTTTTTGAGTTTTTACTGAAAGAATTCTAAGTGTTGCATTTTAAAATCTTTTTTCTTCCTCTCTGCAAAGCCATAATGACTTTGTAGCAATCCTGGACCTGCCTGAAGGAGAGCACCAGTACAAATTTTTTGTAGATGGACAGTGGGTTCACGATCCCTCAGAGGTACAGCAGAATCATTGTCTTTTTATTTTCATTTTCATTTTAACAGTGTACAGGGCAACTTGTACAAAAATGTTTAAAAATCCTTTGTTTCCTGTGTGTAAACACTTAACCTCCTCTCATCTTATTTAAACAGCAGTGTGTGGAGATAACACTGCACTCAATGCGCCAGATAAAACAGACATGAAGCATAAAACTGGTGATGCACGGCTCATACGTTGCCGTCAGGGAGACATTTCATAGAATGCATTTCTATCTGTTGTATGAAAAATACATCTACAGCATGCTTTGTCTGAATTGGCCTTAACTGCACCTTTGTATGTGATTCGTCCTGGTCTTTTACAGATTTCTCGGTGCTTGATTAAATGATTGATTGGCTGGATAGATTTTTTTTTTGCCATAGCAGCAAAGATTTTGATGTGGCGGTGTGCCACTGAGAAATGTTGGCAGCGGAAATGCTTATCCTTGTATTTTCTGTGCTTCTGCTAAATGGGAATCTAAATGTTTTTTCCTTAGTAAGGCCTTTTATAAGGTAATTTTTCAACACTGAACTAATAAAACACAGAATCTAATCTCAGTAAATTTAGTTCCATACTCAGCATGTGGGGTTATTACAAAGATGTGCGATGCTAGTGATCCTAGTATAAACAGTAGTGGTAAAAAGAAATCCTCAAGAAATTGACATTAAATAGATTGACTGTCACTGTTACGTATGTGCTGTGGAGATAAATCACTACTGGTCAGCAAAACCACTGAAGAACCCTTAAATACTGTGGCATGCCCTTCCCAGTAACTCAGTAAAATCACCTACACTCACAGTATTGTCATCCAGGTCAATCTAATACTCAGGGAAATGTGTGGAGAGTGTTATAAATAACTCTAAGCTGCTCGATCACGACTTCTGAGAATGTTGCTCTTTTGCAGCCTTTGGTAACCAGCCAGCTCGGCACCATCAACAACCTGATCCATGTGAAGAAATCTGATTTTGAGGTGTTTGATGCCCTGCAGGTCGATTCTCTGGAGTGCTCCGACACATCAGGTCAGGCTACATCCAGACTGTTCATGAACTGTTTATTGAGATATTATGAAATTTAATCAGTTAACACCCAATTGTTACTGGAGATGTGTTCTTATGTTTCAGCACAAGAACTAGGCACACACTCTTCAGAACCTGTGCTGATTGACTCAGATACATGCAGATTCAGGCTTCACTAATAATTTTAAGTGATAAGGAGCAGCTAACTTATTCACAGTAAACAGTGACAAATAAGGGTGTAACAAGATCTCACAAGATTAAAACATGATACTTGTCAAGGTGAAAGCTGTCTCGCGATATCAGTATATAACAGAAGGGACAGGTCAGATGAACGGCACTATAGCATTACTATATTTAATTATTTTAAAAATAATGAAAGTCTCGTGAGCTAAGTGTATTGTCACACCCCTAGTGACAAAAAATAACAAAAGCCCTTTGTAATAGAAACTGTGTTAGTAGTGTGATTGTGTCTGGTGTGTGATCACAGATCTGTCCAGCTCCCCTCCAGGACCATATGGGCAGGAGCAGTACATCTTCAGACCCGAGGAGCGTTTCAAAGCCCCACCAATACTCCCTCCTCACCTCCTTCAAGTCATTCTCAACAAGGACACCAATATATCTGTAAGTGTCGATACCTTTCCCTTTACCACAGCTCCCTATTCCGAGACACTAAGTGGCTATATTTTCTTGACTTAATTTGCCTTGATTTGTTGTTGTTTACCATTGTGTCTGGTTTGTAATTTTTCTTCTTGCTCCCTCTCACCAGTGTGACCCAGCCCTGCTGCCTGAACCCAACCATGTCATGTTAAACCACCTTTACGCTCTTTCAATAAAGGTAAGTTCACTGGCAGCAGCTGGAACTATCCTCACACTATCCACATGTAACCGGTAGCGCATGAACTGTTAGCCTTTTGTAGAATAGTACTATATACTTTAAATGCCCTTTTTACGCTCTGTTCAGTGTGGACAACAGATGCCTGTATTGTAGTAATATAATCTCAGGTTTCTTGTCTCAACATAAATCATATCAACATGTTAAAAGCTTCAGTAATTTCCCACCGTTTAAATTAAATTTAAACAGTGTTGGGAATTGTTATTTAAATACTCCTTAGCTTAAGGTGGTTAAACAAACCTTTAAATGTTAAGTGTGTTACTGTGACAAATGAATTTAAACACACATAACCATATCATATTCTTGAAGCAAGCGAACTTGTGTTCTGTGCTAAAGAATGCTAGATTTTCCAGTTGTTTAGTCATTTTTAATAGCCACTCATGGCATCTTCTTTCTGTGTTGTGTGTCTCTGTGAAGGATGGCGTGATGGTGCTGAGCGCGACTCACAGATACAAGAAGAAATACGTCACTTCTCTGCTTTATAAGCCTATATAAACGTCAGCCTGAGCGTGCCACAGTGCTTTTAGAGAGCAGCATGTTTGTATTCTGCTGTTTATTTTTCTGTACCACCACATTTAGCCAAATCTCGCACTGAAACAAGTTTACAGGTGAGCTGAAGGCCAGGGTCCTTGGCTGGGGCTTGTTTGTTTTTAAAGGTTGCACTTCTGTCTCCATAGGGCTCTGAAAAGAAGTAGCAAAGTGTGAGTGTGAGTGTGTGTGTGTGTGTGTGTGTGTGTGTGTGTGTGCGGGCTGTCACAGAGAGATGAAAAGCCTACTGTGGCTTTTACCTGACATATAGAGACAGTCAAGAAACTGACTACATCACTGTGTGTATTTGAGTGTTTGCAGCACTTTGTCATTATATGCATGTTAGTGTGTAAAAAGAAATATTTTTGGTACATATGCCACCTTGACGTATGGCGGATCTATGAATGATCTCTTGAAGTGAGGGATTTTGAGTGGTTGTGACGTGTGTGAACAGTTTGATTTGAAGTGCTGTGTTGTCCTTCAACAGATTCAGCTACGTTATGAAGTAGCCAACTTGATGTTTTTCTTGGAAAGTGCATACCGGTTAACAGAACTGCGCAGTCAGGCTCACAGTTGAGGGGCTCAAGAGAGCAATAGACTTGGTTTTGCTTAACCCCAAAGTGCAATAACCTGCTGTAAAAAAAAGTACTGAGCTTCAATTCTAGGGAGAAGCATGTCTTGTTCTTGCTTAGGCAGCAGTAGCAAATGTCATCTGATGCTGTCAGCATATATTACCCAGGTTGAATTTCTTTCAGGTGTAATGGCCATTTTAGATGGAGTGCATGTCTTCAACAGGAAAACCCACTTACCTCATGGGGAATGGTGGTCGAAGGTCAACGTTTAGTTCTGCAAAGGCCTTTATCTTAACATAAGTTTGCAAGCACTTTACCAGCCTGTGAGCGGGAGTGTCGACCTGAGCTTTTAACTAACCTGCTGTCAGTTCTTGTACTGTAGCTTGTCTTGACTATAGACAACAGTTTGTGCTTTTTTTTTTTTGTTGTTGGTTTGTTTTTTAGACATGATCTCGCAGTGTTTTATGTCTGTGCATCTGACTTCTGCTTATCAAAACTAATGTACTGTATGTTTCTGTTGAATGTGTAGTCATACACAGAGGCGTCTACACCTAAACCGCTTCAGCTTGATGCTTTGCATGTGTTGAATGTCTGTAACTTGCACAGACATGGCACTCCTTAGTGTGGTACACGTTCATAAGGAGATTGACCACACACCTCAAAATGTGATCTGAGACACATTTTCAGAAGAATACACAGGGCTGCAAAGATGAACGGTTGCCATGAATTTAAACGTTGTCCAAACCCTGTCCACGTGTGCTTTATAAACATTTAAGCTAATTTGTGTTTTGAGGTGCGGTGGCTTTGAAAGTTATTTTTGTCACTTGCAAATTGTGCTGCCTTATTGACTACACTTATGGTGCAGTGTATACCCACAGTTGATGTTCTACAGAACTATAAAAGGGGCTTTTCATAAGTCCTGTTGGTGTTCAACTAAATACTCTGACAGTATTTTGTGAATGTTCAGCTTAGCCATGAAGTTTTGTCCAAAGAGTTTGCAAGATATGATGAGGGAGTGTGGACAAGCGCCATGGATGTGATGTTTTAAGGCTTAAGCCAAAACTTGAATTTTACATCAGTTTCATGAATGTTTTGAAATGCTTTGCAGAACCAGCGTGAAGATCCACTGTATGAGCTATTACTATATTAAAGAGGACGTGTTGGTCCTAACTTGTCTTTTTTTTTTTTCCTTTCTAAGAAGGTAACATTTTGAGACACTCCTTTGTTTTTGGCTTAATGATTTTATATTTTGACATTTAGTTGTATTTTATAAAGTTCTGAAGAGTGTTTCATTTCAACAGCACTGTTTCATAGTTGGAATGACCAAACTTTAAACCTTCAGGCATGAGAATATTTTGAATTCTAGGTAACGACACTACCTTGTTCACACTACATTTTTATTTCTCACAGTTAATCTAGTTTAAAAACATTCTTATCACCAGCTGAGAATTGTTGCTTAGTTTTGGTTTACTTCAGTGTTTTAACTTCTCAACTTGCTAGCTCTATAAGTGCACCTCAGGGTGTGTCAGTACGCTGTGACACCACTTTTGGGTGCGACCACATGTACAACAGCTTGATGACAAGTTGCTCATTAACGAAGTAAGATAAACTTTTGTGTACAATCAACAGTACGAGCACAAACCCAAAGACCAACTTAGAAGCGAACCACCGCATTCAGCCAAAATAAAAAAACACAAGCATTTGTAGTGTTTTATTCATTCTTTCCCGAAATCTTTCATTGATAACTGCCAAAACATCACACGGTTAACTATCAGAGACAGGATCCATATGAGTCCTGTGTCTGCTTTCTAGTTCATTATGCACAAACTGAGGAACAAAAGCTGCTTTCCAATCACATAAAAGCTGCAATCAAATAGCATTATATACAGACGCGACTTAGAACCAACAATACACTGCTTCAGATTGCAATTTGATTTTCTTGATAAAAAATAGCAATAGAGCTTTGTTTACACTCTAACAAGGTGCCTTGTGGATCCAGTGTTTCACAATCTTTCCAGTCATTGGCCTTTTTTTTACAGTAGGCTATTCTTCAAAACTTTTCCTGAAAGCTCTTTTAAATCCAAAAGGAAATAAACTTTTAACCACTATTGAAATACTTGGTAAATTTTGTTTGTTTCCTGAAGACTTGAGTGAAAACAAAAACCTAACTTGGGAGGTCTCAGGTAGACGAGCAGCAGTTCAAGGCCATTTCTACCACTCAGAGCAGACTGAAGAAGCTCTCTAGCTAACTTTAAAGGCAAGCGAAGCAACAATCAGCACTTTGATACTGTAAGTGGACAATATCAGAATGAGTCTTAAATATTATGAAGGCATAGTCTGTGATTTCCATGTGGCTAATTAATTCAAAGTGACACAATCCTCCTAACACACAGTACACTGCATAAAATCATATACTGCAGGAGGTGAATGTTGCAAATGCAATACAATTCTGTTCTACATCAAAATAAAATAAAGCTATTGCACAGCTACCCAGATATCATCATTGCAAAAAGCAAATGTTTGATGTTTTTTCACACACTCTCTCACACACACACACACACACGTAAAAGTAATGTTCATACAGAAAAAGCCAGTTATTTACAGCAAACAATGGTCAATATACAGCAAGAAAACTAAAAGAAGTTGAACTATTCTGAGTGAAATACAGAACAACGATCCTACCAGTAGCCTGCCAAAGTTTGTCCTCTAAGAACTTGATATCCTCTATTGCCATTGCCATGGGAATGTTAAGGTGGTCTGAACCAAGAGAGAGAACATAAAGACATCAGCTTATGGCCACTTTGTGGAGTTTTGGTCCAAAAAGGAGTTCACCTGTGGTGCACAATTCAAAATAAACCGAACCAGCTGTGTAACGGTTACTGTCTCTAGAGGCCCTTTGAAACAAACACACCTCGGTAACCCACAGTCTGGATTTGTCATTCGCATGGATAAGGCAAGTCAAAGTGTAGTAAAGATTTCAAAGTTCAAACTTTGGCAAGTATTGGCAATCCCCTGTTCAATAGCTTACCTTTTCCCACCTGCAGTCTCTGTCATGCATCAACACACTAGGAAAAAGCACAACAGTAACACTGATCGTGTCCTAAACACTGACTAATAATCCAGTGTCAGGCAAGAAATAATAATAGCCCGGTGCAGCATAATAATTCAAAAAACAACATTATTGCACATGCTCGTATGAGGAGGAGCTTGAATACGCGTTTCGCCTGGTTCCATTTCAGCACTTAAACCTTTTCATTCCCCCTATTGTAGTGTCCTGCTTAGAAATGACAACCAGCCAAATAGAAAGTGACCTTGAGAATTTAACTGATCCAACTGTACCTGTTTTAGTACGTCCACAACTGCAATTTGATGCCAAAAAAAGCACCTTTAGGACCTAAAAGTGGAGGCTTGTGACTAAAATGGAACCTTTCTCTGGATTTTGTTCTGCTATTCATAACCCTTGGCTGACAATACCATTCATAAGCTTGCGCCACAAGTACAGATACAGCTATATAGTAACTATGTAACAGTGATAACCAACCTCCTTTGCATTCCTCCACTGTGTCTAGTGATACATAGTGGGTGTCATTGTTCTTTGCATTGCATTTGCAAAAAGGATGTCCTTGTTAATAACAGTGCCATGAGAAGTAAACCTGCATTTGTGGCAAAGTTGAGGATGTCTTGTCTTTGAGTGAGCTGTGTTCCACATTTAGTGTACATGTGTGCAGAATTCCTCTCACAAGCCATTTTACACATGCATGAACATCTATTCTGTCCACTTCCAGGAGATGATGCTTTTAGATACTGATCTGGGGTGACATTATAGAAACATTTAATGTCATTTTAGGTTGTACTTGAACCCATAAGGTGGAAAGTTTAAGTTGAAGTACTTGTCAAATGTTTCAATACATGATTGCTAGAGGTGATAAATGGCACTAGCTCAAATTAATGAGACAGGTTCTATAATACACCCCCTTAACCTACAAAAAAAAACAGACTGAAAAGATTCAGCTGGTCTGAGATCAGTGTCTGAGAGCATCTTCAACCAGCTCCATCAGTAGGACACACGTAACCAAAACAATCAGAGGCACGTTTCAAACACCTTCTTCTGTCACACACATGACAAGGCAAACTGCTGACTGTATCACTCAAAGGCAGTAGCACATTAGGCAGTGGGAGTGGGTAGAGAGTGACCAAATAGGTGAGAAGGTGGGGGGAATTTGGTTAGGCTCAACTTGTGCATTATTTTGTGCACATATTGCCCCACGGAGGGAATGATGGAAGCCCTCCCATGGCTGAAAGGAGGTAAAGGTGGAGTTTGGGGGAGGTGAAATGTGTTTGATGGGAAGGGGTGGAAGGACAATGTGTGGGGGGGGCTGGCTTTTTAAGCATATAGGAGGTCAGAGGTGATAGTACTGAGGCTGGTTCTTTGAAAGTCTAAAGCAGGCATTGACTGCTGCGCTTCCTCGCCACCTGGCGCCGACTGGCTGCAGCCCCAGCGGCTCTGGAAGCACTGCTAGGCTTCAGGAAACTGCAATCAGCAGGCTGCTCTCTGGCAGCACCTCCTGGGTCCTCAGCTGGATTCAGAGACAAAAGGAGAGAGACAACACAACAGGTATGGTATTACTGAAAAAATCTCTATACAGGCTGATAAAACTGACAAGGCACTGGTGAGGTGAAACGTTAAAGGAATAGTTCAACATTTTGAAAAATACGCTCATTCGCCTTTTTGCGGGGCTAGATGACTCATGGCTCTAGTTTCATATTTAGCATACCACTATGAGAGCGATAATCTTCTCTCAATGTAACACATAACAGAAAGCAAATAAGTGCCCTTCTCAAAATGTCAAACTAGTCCTTTAAAAACTGGAGCAGAACGCTACGCAATACAATTCCAAAATACAGCTTCTTGCAAATGACGAGGCAAGAATGAGTGGTTAGAGAATAAGCAATGCTGATGCATCTTGTGCCCCTCACATACACTTCTGTTTTTCTGCATGCCTTGTGGTGTGAATGAACCTAGCTGTTTATTATATTACTCAATCCTAAAACTGAAGGTCAGCAGTGAAACCTTTTTTAAAATATATAATACATTGTGTACATCTGGCAGCATACACACAGAATAGAAACTATGCAGTGTGTTATTATTGTGGTGCTCAAGGTGGGCAGGGTCTCAAGCTGTAAATAGACTCAACCTAAATACATGGGATATGCAACAGAACAACAATACTTTGGTGCAGAGGCACCCTGCACTGGATGTGCTCAATATGTAATTTGGTTCTAGTGTTACAGGTCTATGAACCATGTTTAAACCCTCATTTAAACAGCTTTACTTAAAAACAGTTATTATAATAGCTGCTCACTGCCCCTTGTAGAAAACAAGGTGACCATACAAAGGCTTGATCATATCAGTTCTGTGTTGACTGGAGGTGTCTGTGTGTGGTCATCTTAATTTCTACCCAGAACAAGAATTCTGCCATCATCTATATTATCTCTCAATTGATTTCTGTCAAATAGTCTACACACCGATACAGCAGAAATGTCACAAGACACTAAAAATAAAAGTTAGTTAAACCAGGATGGAGTTCGCTGTCAGATGGGATGGTAAAGCAGTGATGTTTGATTAGAAGATTCAAATCCAAACAGAGGTAAAAACTGCCCCAGAAAAAAGAATATTATATTAACACTTACAGTTTAACCAGAAGGAATGCTACTGGTACTAATACTACTGCAGTCCGTTTATTAAAGTAGAGTTTTCTGGGACAACATCTACCTATTTGCAAGGCCACAACATGTCAGACAATTACCAGCATAAGGATAGGAAGAGGAGGAGCTTAGGGAGGAAAGCCTCAGCTCATTCTTCTGGGGAAGGGGGGATTACAAGGAAAGGAAAAGAGAAGCGAGGGGAGAGACAAACACAGGGCGAAAGAACAAGTGAGACAGAAAAGACAACAGTGATGAATTTACATCAAAAGTTGAGGACACCAGAAATGTACTACTGTGACCTGTGGGGTATGCACAGATAACCTAACAGCATGTAAGTGATATTACCGAGGGTGCATTAAAGTGGTTTACCTGTAAGTTTGTCCTTGCCTTCTTCAGCACATCACGAGTCCTTGATACTACAAAAGACGAGAAAAAAATCTATATGGCTACATTGATATTACAAGGTGGATAAAAACCTGCCTCATTTATCATTTCTGTCTAAACCCCAACCTGGAATTTCTCTACGTTTTCAAGAAGGGTAAAGTAATGTCATCTTTGACACGTACAGTACCTTATTAGTAGGCCTGTTGTTTTACACTTGCCCTTCACACATTTTTTTCTGTCACTCTCTCACACACACAAACACTTACAGTGGTTGACTATGAAGTGCTCCATGCTCTCTTTGGTGCGGCTGGTGCTCCTCAGTCTTTGAATTGTCCCCTTAAGAACCTCATCCTGCTCTGATATACGCAGTTTCAGGGACAAGATCTCTTCCTGCATACACTGCTCCTACACACATACATCATTTGTTACCATGGTGCAGCGTTCTTACATAACGTGTGTGACTGTCAAAGCTCATAAAGATCCGCCCAATCATAAAATATCATAATGTGTTTAAACCTTCTTAAGGTTTTGGTTGGAGGGATCAGCGCTGGGCAGAGCTGCCCTCCAGAACATCTTCAGCAGAGCCATCGCCTCCTCCAGTATCTGCCTTAGAGTCTTAGTGTTGGAGAGCAGACTCTTCACACATCCATAGTCCAGGACCTGTATACAGAACACTGTTAAGTACCTGTGCTTTACAGTCATTGCTTTTATGATTTGCTGTCACTGCTTTTTTTTTTCAAAATTACATCTTTGACCATCTGGGTCTCACCAGGTCGCTGCTCTGTTTCTGGCTGCCCTCCAGCAGGGGTGGGCTGAGGCAGGCCTGCAGGGTCATCTCCATGCGCTGGACAATGCTCCGGCCCTCTAGAACTTGCTGCTGCAGAGCAGTGAAGTCATCCACATGACCAATGGCATGGCGGCCATTACGGTTTGCAAACGATCCATCCGGGGCCTCTCCCTCCAGCTCAGAGTGGGGGTCCAGAGGGTCTGTGGGCGATAAAAGAGCTTTAATGCATTTTGGATGGGCTTTAAATGTGTTTTTTATTTTGTATTGTAAGAGAGAAATTTGTGGAGTCAGGCTTATTAGAATCATAACAAGGATTTACTGTTACAAAGCAATACACACTCTTTATAATAAGACAACTAATTAAAAACAGATTAAGCTGCAGTCATGCAGTTGCAGTGTAAGTCACACCATTGGCAGTGCTATGGCTGTCATCCAGGTCAGAGTAGGGAGGACCAGGGGATCCACAGTTAAACAGACCAATGTCCCTGACCGGTGGAGACGGAGCTGGGTCTGTAGAGCACACAGATACACAAACCAGGCTTGGACACACAGCAAACCACACCATAGCCCACTAAGCCTGTAGCAGTGTAGCGGTGTCATATGTAGAGGGTGTTGTCTCACCGTGTAGCAGCTGCCGTCTGTAGAAGCTTTCTCTCTGAGGACTGGCAGTGAGGGCAGAGAGGGAGGGAGTTCGAGGAGAGCCGACACCCAGTTTCTGCTCCAGCTGCTTGTGGAGCTCCAGTTGTTTGAGGGCGCTGCTCTCCTGGACGCTGTTTTGCAGCTGCGCCCGCAGACTCCTCACCTCCCCGAGCAGCTCTCCCAGCTCTACTGGTAGAACTGGCAGCTCACAAATGTAGCCTGAGGACACAATGCACAATCACTGGAGAGACTGGGACATACTTCTGCTTCTGTGCTCTCTGGGGTGAGGAGGTTTGATTCCACCACAGCACACATATAATTGACTGGGTAGATGTTTAAATTTTGCATTACATCATCTTTCAGACCGTTATAATGGTGTAAATATTTGTTTGTAGAGAAGTGAAACTATCATGGGCACAAATGTCAGCAATCTATTATTATTTTAGCCTATGCATCTCAATGTAACTGGGTCTACTGTGATGAAACTCTTGATCACCAGATGGCGCCAGAGTCAGGCACTCCATCAGAAATCCTACAATAGGGGCTTTTACATTAAAACTTTTTTATTTACAAAGGGCAGTATATTCAGTGCAGCTGATGTACAATCAATATTCTGACCTTTGTTGGCCTTAGTGCTGGAAGACACTCGATCGTACACTTGTAGTTCACTCTGCAGAGAATGGATGAGCTCCCGGCTCTCACACAGCTGCTGCTGCAGTAAAGACACTTCATGCTGGAGCCTGAGGGTGTGCATACACAGATACTGCATGGTCAAAGCACAGATATGTAAACATAGACAGGAACAATTTCTATATGCTCATGAACACACCGACCTGTTGGTCTTCTCCTGACTGGCCTGTCGCTCCTGTCTTAATGTGTGTATCTGCTGTCCCTGCTCCTGACTATGAGCCTGCAGTCGTCTGAGCTCATCCTTCCACTGCTTGGCCTCCAGCTCAGCTTGCTTCAGGCGGGCTCGCGCTGTAAACACAGCCTCCCGCAACTGCACCACCTCCTCACATGTGTCTGAGGGAAGAGGAGATTCTAGATGGGTTTATGTAAACACACCTGAAAATCCCTTCTGTTGCCATAGCTTCTAGATAGAGAACCTGTGCTGGCCTGCAAGCGTGACTGTAGACCCAGATTTTCTTCCTTCAGGATTCTGATCTCATTGGACAGTTGAGTGACAGTGTCCAGTCCCTGAATGTAGATGTTAGTGGGTGCCCCTGGGCAAAAAGCAGGAGTTACAGGTTATATGAAATGAGTGAGTGTTTGGTGTTAGTAGAATGTGTGAGGGCTGCAGTACCTCCATCACGCCCAGTGGTGGCCAGTCTCTCTTCCAGCTGTTGTCGAAGCCTCTCATTGGTCCTAATGGATTCCTCCAGACGCTGACGGAGACACCTCACCTCCTGCAGGTGCTCCTCTATCAAATTTACCCCTAGAAACAAATATATTTGTAATATTTCAATAATCATTATACTGTTCTGTGACTTTGTATCCTCCATAAGTGCGGTCCAACTAGGTGGACTGCATGTGGGTGTGAATGTACTGTCCGACTCTTGAGCTTTTCTGATTACTAACATCCTTTTAATACAATTAAGAATAGCCACTTCCCATTAAAGCCAGTTATCTATGTTTAAAGACATTAAGTTTAATCTTTACCTTATTTAATTTCACATGTTTGGTTTTCCGTACAAAGAATCATGTTGTCAGTGTTACGGTCCATGTCACAACATCCTCAAAATATGTGTTTTGCTTGATGCCACTGGTCTATGTTGTTAATACTGCAGGCAAATGACTGGTATAGTATGTCACACCTGCATGGTCACCTCCTGGCTGGTGTCCAGATGATCCAGAATACCTTCCAACTGGTTGAACCAAGTTGTCCGTGTCCCATAAAGTGGCACCTGTCACTAGACCTGAGTCAGACTTGAGTGAGTGGCCCTCAGGGATGCCATCCAGATGGTACTGTTGAAAGGCATGATGGGATAGCTGGCTATAGCTGGAGAGGTTGTGCTGGTTGTGGTCACCAGGTGAGAGAGTGAACAGAGCCTTGTCATGGGGAATTGCAAAACCTGTACCATAAACACACACAACAGTAAAGAAGTGTGTGAAGCTTGAATACACTCTTAGGACACGAGGGGTGTATTCAAGGGAGACAGAGGTTGCACACAGTTGAGATTATGAAAGTTAAGTAATTTCACACATGGCACACTTTCCCTGGCCCCTCACCCCTGTTCTGCTTATTCATCTGTTTGTACAGCATGTCCAGCTCTGGGTGAACAGCGATCACAGACAGGGCCCTGGGCCGGGGGTCAGAAGTGACTTCCTTACCCCAGACATCAGGGCCAGAGAGGATGGAGGGGGAAGAGGAAACAGGCTCACTGAAAAGGGCTGGAGGACAATGAGGAAAAAACATGAAGGAGGAGGAGGAAAAGGAAATCAGATTTTTGCAATCATATGTGAGTCCCATACCTCTGGAGAACTGACTGGTCAAAGCCATAGGGGCTGAGCAAAGCATGTTGGGACAGCTGCTGGAAGACTTGAGGAGGCCATGAGGAGGAAGGAAAGATGAACGGACTAGAAGAGGGGAATGAAAGTGAAAGGATAGAACAGAAAGAGAAAAGATCAAGAGGAAAAAAAAAAGATCAAGCTTCAACAATACCATCTGGTTCTGATCCTGGCTGCCTCAGTCGGTGCTCCTCCTGATACTCTCTGGCATCTAAATCAGAACACAACTCCAGGTCTTCATTGGTGCGGTACTCGTCCGACACCAGGGAGGTCCTGTCTGATTGGTCGGTTGTCTCAGAGAGGGCATGGCAGCTGGACGGGCTTTCGGGACATTGCTGCAACTTGGTGTGGAGTGACTCGATGATTTTGTCCTTCTGCTGCAGCTCCTTACTCAGCCTACATGTGTACACATGAGAATCAACTATAACACCGAACTGATACAAGAGAAAAGAAGCAAGTCCATAATAGTCTACTTATACAGTAAGTGGTATATGATTATCCATGAATAGTAAAACATATCACAATAAGAAAAGGATACGGAGCTGCAACAATTATTCACTCAATGAAACTGTTGATTGACAAAACTATTTTGATAACTAATTGTTTTGGTCATTTTTTAAAGAGTTTGCTGCTTTTTTCTGTATATGATAGAAAACTGGGTAGCTTTGGATTTCTGAATTAGATGTTTGAAGAAGACATATATGAGACCTTTCATCTCTCTTACTGTTTCAGCTGATGAAGCATGAACTTGCTGTCTCTTTCCAACAGCATCCAAAAAATAAACTATCTTTCTTGCTTGGCCTCGACCCATAGAGAAACAGCTGTTTATGGGATTGCACAGATTTTCACAGAGAAGCCATCTGATAATGAGTTCAGTCCACTACTCAGCTCAGTCTTTTAAGATTTAAAAATACATTTAAAAGTAATGCCAAAAAAACCCATAAGTAACTTTGTAAAGATCTGACAGAAATAATCTTGGCTGGTGAAACCTGCAAACTGTCTTTTCATCAAAAGTAACTTAACGGTAAATGATCCCTGTTGTGGCCTGTTAGCGGATTAACATTAACCTTCTGTCATGTCTCCACCATAAGGAGCCATGTGGACGGCTCCTTGTCACATGACAAACTAATCGCTTGGACAGAGTAAGTGCTCCGCAAAGTGAGCTAATAACTTCAAGACAACCTCACTGATTTCATTGTGATACTACAGTTTGTTGTTTGCTGATGCAAAGATAAACAGATTGGGATTTATCCCTTTTTTATATTTATAGGGAATTGTTTGTCTAGTATTTTCAATCCCTTATGAAAACACTTAATGCATGCAGTGTGCACATGTACTTAACATGTGCATACAAGACTGAGGATGAAGATTTGTAGCTCAGTCATGTGGCAGACAATGATTTAGCCACAGTCCATACTCTGAGTTCTCATCTTTAAGTTTGCAAACACTCACCTGTCCTGCACATGGTCTGCAACTAACCAACTAATGTGCAGTTATAGTTATTTCATCATAGCATACAAACAGTTATAGGGGACATCTAAGTGCACCTGTATGCAGAGAGGTTCCTTCTAAATGAATCTCTCACACAAGCTCCAAATGCAAGCTACTTGGCTTACCTTGCTGTCACTTTAAGTTTAACATGGTAGAAACATTTTCTTTCACACACACATTCACCATGCAGACATAATGAAGCTGACTCACCGTAGGGCAAGCAGCTCATGGTCCATCTTGTCATCGTGGCTCTCTGCATGGTCGCCTATACAAACCAAACCAAAAGAACAGAAAGGGAGTGGAAAGCCATTTTTAAAAGACAGTTTAGGAGGAGAAGACACTGAGAATGGAGAACTGTAGAACAAACAATATGTCCGTGTGGTGGAAGAGACAGGAGGACGTCTCTTACGTCCACTGATCTTGATGAACACTCTTTGTGCCAGGGCGGTGCTCTGTGCCAACTGTTCTCTGAAGCTCTGACCCATGTAGTAATCAATATCATTAGCTCGCAGGAGCTCCTCAAAGGTCTGAAAAGTGTTGAGAAATTCAGCAGGTTTAAAAACTGACTACAGAATGCAATGCTTATGTTGGTAATATGTAGAAAAATGTGGTTTAATGAGTCATTTAATTAATGTAGAAGGGTTTGCAGCACCTTTGTGGTATCACCCAGGTGCTGGGTGAGGATATGGCAGACTCCTTGCCCCTCTCTCATCCTCTGCCTCAGATGGGACAGCTCACGAGCTTGTGCCTGGATCAAAGAGTTGTACTTCCTATAAAAACAGGAGGAAGAACAGTCAGGGGAACACAATAGGATTAAATGAAATGTTAGTATGTTTTCAGAGCACTAAGAGTTTTAAATTAGTGCATATATAACTGTTCCCATGTGCATCTTTAACTGAGTCTACCTAAAGAAAGCGTAACTAGCCCCTCCTTCTCCTTCTTTCTGTTATCACACACCCAGGCCAAGTGGCACATTTCTCCTCTTCTGCTTGGCCTTTGCCCTCCAATCTGGAACTCTTCAGCTGTGCCTCTAGTGATGCAACCCGTGCCATCAGCTCTTGCAGGTCCCCATTGGGTTTGGACGCTAACCGAGTCCCTTGTGTATCAGACATCCAGCCTTCATCCTCTTCTACACCACTTGGGGCAGGTGTTCTTTCAAATGCCCAGTTTACCTTGAAGGTGATTATAAAACAGCAAAATAAATAAATATAAAATTGATGAACTACAAGCTTGAACTTACAGAGTGGTCATTAATACAGAGCAACCGATCAGTGTGACAGTACCTTGCGAGGGGTGCGTTCCAGACTGGAGGCATAGTCACTGGTGGCAGACAGGGAACGCACTCGCAGCTGCAGCCCACGGATCACCTTGTGGCAGCGGCCCAGCTGTGAGCGGAGATCCTGGACCAGATGCTGCAGAGAGACCGGCTCATCTGCCAGTTCATAAACACCTGTGTTACTGCTGGTATTACCAGCATACCAGCTGCTGCCCACACCCTCATAGTGTTGATGATGGGACAGTGATGTGCACATCTCCAGGTCATCAAACTCTGAGGGAGAGAAAGTTGAAGAAAGTATTAATGAAGGATTACTAAAAATAATACTGGATATTATAATTTAAGAGAACATTTTGTCTCTGTTGGCCACCTGGGCTGCTGGTGTCTTCTCTCTCAGCTTCGTTCTCACTGCGACCACAGGTCTCATAACCCAGATCCTGGAGATCCACCTGCACTTGTTTACTGACCTGCTGAACGGATGTCTCTGCTGCAGAGATGTGAAAATGGAATTACTTGAATGTCATTAATAGAGTATTTGATTGTGGTTTGAGTTCTTATAAGCATCTAATAACATGTCAGCCTTCCTTGATTCATGTTCCTGAGAGTGACTCACTGAGCAGATCTCTGTAGTCCTTCAGTTGTTCAGCCTGAGCATGGACTGTGGCCTCAGATACCATCAGCCTCTCCTGCAGCTCTCTGTTCTCCTGGTGGCTGAGAGCCAGGTCTGAGCGCAGACGGACCGCCTGTTCTCTGACACTCTCCTCTACATTGTGCCAGAGTGCCCCCTCCTCCCTGCTCTCACCAGCAGGCTCCACCTCCTGCAACAGCAAATGGTGCAACACTGGTTTGTAGCACAGCTCACTGAAATCTGCTTTGCAGCAAGTGAAGCCTAGTGCACTTATTTGATCACTTTTTACACCACAATGTATTATTGTTTGCCATTTTATTCTCTTTAGAACTGTCACTTCTGTATTTGTGTGTCATAGCAACAAACTACCATACTATATGAAAGATGGACAAAATAATATGAATAAAGCCAATTTCATGCATACATATTAACCCTTATTACATTCAGTTTTGTACAGATTGCATCAGAGAGGTGCTGATGCAACATTTGATAACATTTTTTGAGATGCAAGTTGTGTTGTTCTATTGACTCATACTTCATTGTAAGGTGTTCTAATATCTTAGGAAAATATTAGCAGAAGAGTTGAAGGAGAAATTAAAAGTCTTAATAGATTTGCAGCAGATTCATAAAATATCTGGGATAGTTATTAGCTGCTGATATTAGTCCCTCAATGTTTCACATGATTTAATTTTTATTTAAATGTATATATAATGTGTTACCGTCTCAGTTTGGTGTGTGCGATGATGGGACGGCCGGGTGCAGTGCCTCTTCCCTCGCTTCTCACTCAAACTAACACAAGGAGGACCTCGCTTCCCTGTAGACACTGGAGATATTTCCTCCTCTTCATCATCTTCCTTATCCTCCTCAATATCCTCCTTCTCCTCTTCCTGGTTCACACTCCTGGGATTCTTCTCTATGTTCGTCTTCAGTCCCAGGAATCCAGCTGGTCCTTGAGCTTCTTTCAGAACCCGGTTCTCCTGCTGCACCCTTTGCAGTGCACTCCTAGCAGAAGATGAGCAGGAACGTCAAATCAAACGCACATTAATGTAAAGTAGCTGTCAGGTTTGAACCTCCCCAGCAGCTCAGACGGCAGAGCCACCGACAACACAACAGTCACAATTCTTGCTTCATACATACAATAACATCCTCTTAAACAATCAGAACTTCTAATTTTCCTGAGGATATGAGACAAATATGCACCTCATCTGGGACACAGAGGAGTATCCATCCCTCTCCAGCTGAAATCTTATTTCCTCAAGCTGGCCTTCAAGCGTCTTCTTTGCCTTCTCAAGCTGTTCCACATCAACTCTCTGAGAAAGCACCTCCCTGGTCGGCCCTATGGCCACACCCACAGGTCCACGAGTCCTCACACAAGTCTAAATAAAAGTCAGAAAAACATTTACATTTTTATATCATCCTTACTATTTAAGATAAAGTGCTTTCTCCAAAGTTTAAATCAAGTAGAGATGCATATACCCGAATGGAAGCCAAACTTCTGGGGGTCACTTTGTCGTCATCATCCTCTATGCTGTCTGTGAACTCATCACTGCTGTTGCCTTCATCATCTCCTTCCTCCTCCTCTTCTGTGCTGAGCTCTGAAAACACAGTAACCATATAAGAACAATATTCACTTGCTTTTTGCTCATTTGTTTAATTGTATTCCTGTTTTTCTTCTTGGTCTTTCATTTTTATGTCTCTCCCTCTCTAGCGGGCACTCTGTTCCATTCTTTCCAGAACCCTGTCTGAATCACCACTTTGGAAGTCATAGGACTAAAGGGAAATGTTATGTCATAGATTTCCTACCAGCCAAAAACACACTCAAGACAGTGCAACCCAGTATGAGTATGTGTGTTCATGAGAAAGACTTTACAGAAAGCCAGAACAAATGTGATGGAGTTTGGATGATTTATATTCCCCCACAAACTGTGTGCCAAAATGATCTATGTTATTAAAAGTTTTGTATTCACACAGAGAGCAAGTGAGGAACACATAAATGATGTTGATTTGCTGCCAGGAAGCACAGGCGCTGTGGAAAGTGATTGGTAGGAATGTCAAAGGAAATCTGTTTTACATAATAGGCCCTAATAATACACAAGAGAGACATGCATAATATACCACATGCACACAGTGTGCAGTGCTAGATGTCCATCATGGATGTAAGAGTGTGCTCACTAGATTGGTGGAACTAATGGGATTATTTACTTATCAGTGAAAAGTTTAATGATACTTAAAAGTGTTTCCACCCACCGACCAGAATGAAAGTTTAATACTGTATAATATGTAGGTTTGAGCTGCTGGTGAGAGGGCAGGAAATTCATGAAATGAGTGAAGCTGCCAGCTTATTACTGATGGAACAATGTGCTTTGTAAGCTGAACCGACTGAATATGGGCCTCTGTTTACATGCAGACACGCATAACATGCAGAAAGGGGCACATACTGAAGCTGCATATCATGTTGCTGGGTGTATTTGTCATTTAAATTCAGGGAACAATTAAGTGAAAGGTCTCTCAACAGTTTCTTATTTGGTGACTTTCATTTTAGCATTGTGGATTATCTAAACTGCAGCAGAACAGCCATGCACACACGAAAACCATACCACAGTCGCATGCATGAGTGAGCACAGACATGAACAAAGAGAACTCATTGGAATTGGAAATGTCTGGAATAGTTTGATGTACATGTTTGCATTTGCACATTAAAATAGAATTTTCTACAGAAATCTGTTGACAAATTCTGATATTTGACATTTACTGGGAATTTATGACAATATTTCATGGCATTTATAATATATATATACATTTAAAAAGCATGTTAAGACAAACTGAGGAGAACATGTAAGCAGTATTTCTACCCTGAAAGGCTCAGACAGATACAATACAGTGGGCTGGTGTTTGGGGAAATAAGGAAGGTCCATCAAGGAACAAGTTGGGGATTTCAGGTTTGGGATATTCTCAAAACTAATTCCCAATTAAACACAATAAAGAGAAATCCATAACAGAAGTGCTTTTGACAAAAACCCAGCACATGTTTATTTTTGTTGCATGTAAAATACAAAAGAGTGTTGACAAGGATTCCATCTTTGAGGCTAGATGAGAAATCAGGGCACAACTCCCAAGAAAATGTATTCTACCTATTATATATTTTTAAAGAGCAAGTATTATTTCTGGCGTTCACATCTCATGTGATTCATAGAGTACAATGCAGACAATCTGATAAACTAAAAACAATACATACAATAACTTACCGTAATCAGCACACACCTCTGCCTTGTATCTAACCTATATTTCATGCATATCTGAGAGACTGAAATTACAGCAAAGCAGTTTTACATGAACTAACTATGAAAGTAAGGTTAAGCTGAACTAGTGGGAAGCTACTTGGCCATCTTTTTGGAGTTATATCTTGGACCTTATTGATGTGCACATCCTGGTCGCAAACAGATGACGTAAAACAAATGATGGATGGTGAGACGTTTCACTACAAGGCTCATATGAGCTTGAGTTTCTCCACAAGATGTAATTTCACTGTGATAGTAAGGCTGGAAGAGTGACACCAGGTGAGAGACAGTACACAGAAATGGCAATACAGAACAACAACTGCAAAGCAATACGCAGGCGGTTATCATAAACAATATAAAACCATATTCACACCATACTCACAAAAGATATTAATAAATAAGACTGAGTTGCACATTGCTGTTTCAAACCATTAATCATCTGAACAGACTGCTACTACTACTACTGTGAGTAGTAGTTGGGCAATCTGGACGAAGCTGCCTGAAGACTGAGGGTCAAATTTAGATTTTCATTCATAATTTGAGCAGACTGTGCTTTATCAGATTCACATTCGGGCCACATTTTTAAAAATTAAAACCAATCAACTGTGGGTACAGACAGCTGCATCTCACAAAGAGTGCCAGTACCACTCTGCTGAGGTCAGACAGAGCATTATGGAGCATTAGTGACGGTGCGCTGTGCAGCCCTGGAGGCTGAACCCTGCCCATCCCCACCTCCAGAGTCGGACTGCCTTTTAGTTGCCCTTTCCAGCCCCAGGGCCATCTTACGGGTCCTGGCCAGGACCTCCTCCAGCTGTCCGCGGAGAGCCTGGACCGAGTCTAACTCAGTGTGAAGGGCCTGGATCTTCTCTGTACTGCTGAGAAGTGGACAAGAAGAGAAGAAACAAGTGTCTTTAGTGCAAAAGTAAAAATGCCCTGTAACTTACTGAATTCATGGGAAACTAGGTTGTCACAAGACTTGGGAGCAGGTGCCCTACCTGTCAGTCTTGGTGTGGATCTGAGTGAGATTTTGATACAATCTCTTCTCTGCCCTCAGGGCGTCATTCAGCTTGTTGTACTCTGACACAAGCTGCTCCAGCACACACTAGATGAGTGGAAAGCAGGGTTGAGAAGGAAGGAGATATACATTAAATGTGTAATTCTTAAGCAGTGTAATCCCCTAAACATCATTATTTCACTGGGAAAGAAGTTAAAATCCTACTTGGTGATCAGTGCCGTCTTTTGTGGGAACACCTTCGACCTGCTGCCGAGCCAAAGATAAATGCAAAGCAGAGAGCTCCTTCTGCATGATGAAGACACAAAGATATGATGACATGATGTTACGACACAAAAAAAAACAGGGATTCTTGATATGAGTCATCTCAGGGCCCACAGATACCTGAGCCTCCCGCTCCTTCTTCAGTGCCAGCTGCAGCTCCTCCTCGAGAGCCTTCACCTCAGCCTCCCTCTCCTTAGAGGAAGGATGCATTGCCTCTTCCTGGCCCTGCATTAACTCCTGATAAATAAAAGATAATGCAAAGATAAAGCAGACAGAGCAAGGGAGAAAGCCAAGGGAAATGTATGAACAGATACCTTAATGAAGGCTTCTTTCTCTTGGAGCACACTTCGCAGATGCTCCGTCTCTCCTCCCATCTCCCTCTCTCTGTCCCATCTCAGCTCACACAGTTCCTGCTCTCTTATTGACAGCTGCCTGCGTAGCTCCTGCAGCTGACCCGTCCGCTCACTAATCACTAAGGACAGCCTATAGGCATAGTCCTGAGAAAGAATGAGGGAGGAGATTGAAGGCTTTTAAACTTCCTTTTATCGTGCACAATCTGTAGGTCACATATACTGGCAACGTGGCCTACCTGCAGATACTGATCTTTGGAGCTGAGAGCACTGAGCAGATCCTGGACCTGTGCGTGGTGTTCGTTAGACTGGCGGCTGCGGTCTGTAAGCAGCTCCTGGAAAAGTTTCTCTTTGAGTGCCAGCCGAGACTTCAGCTCCTCCACAACCTCAGTGGGACCGGCCTGGACTCTGGCAACAAGGGTTGCTGTCAGTTCCTGTACGTGCATACACATAGAAGAAAATACAATAAGAAGGGGCTGTATCAGTGTACCTGCTGTATTTGTCAAAGTGAAAACAAGTAACACAGGTTTCTCTGCTTGGGCAGGTTTTCCAAAGCTTTGAAAATTACACCACAGAGAATTAGAAGCCATGACAATAAAGGCATGAATGTGTGTGTGTTACCTGGACCTCCTGGCTACGGCTTTGCAGGGTTTCCTGTAGCTGGCTGATGATGGTGTCTTTCTCTCTCTGAGCATTCCTCTCCTTCTCCTCACCCTGCTGCTTCAGCCACTGGAGGTTCCTGTAGGCCTCTGCAGCCTGCTCCAGCTCCAGCTCCTTCCCTCGCACCAAGGCATCCAGACTCTGATGGTCAAAAATAGGTGTAACCACACAAAAAGAAAAATGTAATACTTGATATATGTCTTGAATTTATTTACTATTCCTGTTGCTAATGGATCTGTGCCACTGAGAGAAATTTACTGTATGGGCCCTGCCCTTTAGTATAAACAGGCAGGTCTGTTATGTTTGTACTCTGTGAAATGAGCATACCGTGATGGTGTCCTCATTGTTGGACAGGATGCAGCGGAGTCTCTCCAGGTCTCGTTCTTTCTCCCTGAGAGCCTGCTGCAGCCTCCTCACCTGGGCCTCATGCTCCTCCAGACAGTGGAACTTGTCATCTATCGAGCGCTGCAGACAGTGGGGGCGGGGGGATCACAGTGCTGCTCTTCTAGGAACCCTTAACTGGGATATTCATCCCTGCTCTGACATTCATCGCATTCCTTACAGTGCTTAGTTTTGCACTTAACAGAAAAATGAGCCCCTGCGACATATTCAAAGCTCTTTCTTTATAGATGTATCGGAGTATGAAATTAACTTTTTTGTTATGGAGCACCAACATCATCTGAGCTAGTCATGCTATGTTTTACTATAAAGAAGCACACTGCACTACATACTGACAACTAAGGTCTTCTTTCCCAGTGCTTATCCTAAGATTTTTTTTTAAATTGGTGGTAAAATTTTATGCTGACCTACTGGATTATGAGGGATTTTGTATTACTGTCTATCAGTGGCTCTTTTGACTGCTGCAAGAAAAGCCTCAGTGCTACAGTGATCTACACGACAGGGTAGTCTTCAGTGACTTCAACATTTCATATATCAGCATTTTTGTATCCACTCAATATTTCCACCAAGTTGCCATTAAATTCTGTCCTTGGTGTGTGTGGGAATCTGTGTGTTTATGTTTTACCTCCAGAGCTCTGTCTCTATCTTTTATTCGCTCCTTTAGTTTCTCCAGCAGGGCATCTCTTGGTTTGGAGCTTCCTGC